TACAGATATACATGCAGGCAAAATAACCATACACATAAAATAAAACTTTTGGAAGGAAGTACATTGGTCTGAAATACAAATCTAACTGGGTACCCTGTTACCTCACGTCATCCTCCTACCCCTGTGCCATGAACCATCAAATGACACCTAAATGACAACATATGGAAAATTGTAATGGACCCTAAAGCTGCTGGGCAGGAAAAAAAAGAACAGTAAGCTGGATTTGCAATATGATCAACAATTTATCCACTTGGATAAACACGTCAAAGGCTGGGGATTTAAGTGTGAGCATTCAGGTGGGGCTCTAATACAGAAGTTACCAAAACGAACTACTCTGCCTAGCAGGAACGCATCTCTAAAGAGCGTTCCATCCATCTCAGACCTATAGAAACAGGAACTGTTGAGTTCTAGTGAGGATTCCATACATTCTTGAGCAAAGTTCTTAAACTCTACTGAAGGTACTTTATCCTAGTTGTCAGTACAGTGACCACTACAGAATAAACAGGCACAGCTGGGAACGGGGCATTCCTAGACAGTAAAATATATACATGTGCACTTAACACAAACAGAAACCTACAACTAGCTTTTGGAGCATTTTGGCAAAAATGAATGTATAATGCAGAGATTGTCTGCATTCTCCTTGCCATCAGGCATAAATGCTACTCAGGTTCTGTGTGAATGTTGTGTTAGCTACAGTTCGCCAGCCTATGATGTCACATCACCCAATGTTCACAGTTGGCATTCCTGGTGATTCTGATGTCTATGAATTCACTGTTCAGGTGTCACACAACTGGCACACTGCCCTCAATCCCCTGTGCTCCGCCTTTTCATACTACTCCCTGCTAATCAGCAGTGACTTCTTGACTGAGTCCTTAGTTTAATTTTCTAGAATGACACACAATTGGAATCAGAGACAGTGCATTGTTTTCAGACTGGCTTGTTGTTTTGATTTTTATCACCTGAAGGATGTCACAATAGGTGACTGTTTTCATATGCATATTTCACATTTGCATGCCTTTGTTGTAAGGTGTCTTTTTAAAATCTGTGGTTCAATGTTTGTTTGACCGAGGCTGTGTAGCACTTTTCTTCGAAATAAAACTGACTTGGAGGGAAGTTCTTTAAGATTCAGGATGTCTGAATAGATAGGAGAACACTCCATTCTACTGGAAGCTCATTAAGCTGGGGAAGTAAGCAACTAAAGAACTTCAGGAAGTTCCTCAGACTGAACAGATTCACTCTCCTCAGCATATATTAGCAGTAAGAACTGCTGAGAGACACTCAAACAAGCTAATCTGCCTAGAAGGAGCAGAGACCAACTAAGCTACTGGGAATATACAATCTTCATCCTGTTGAGCTACCTGCAGGCTGCAGAGTGTTCTTAAGGTTTACAGATTTCATAACTGTTAGCCACGCTGGGGTGGGCTTTGGTGATGTTGCTGTGTTTGAGTCAGTTTTGCTAATGAATCTTATTGGCTTACTAATTTGGACCTTGGCAATATCTATACTTTGGTCTGTCATTGGTTCCCTATCTGGGGTATTTTTAATTTGTATTTGTATGTATGTATGCCCACAGAGGCCAGAAGAGGGTGTCAGACTCCCTAAAGTTGGAGTCATAGGTGGTTATGAGCTACCTGCTGTTCTGGGAACAAACCCAGTCTTCTGCAATGATAGCAAATGCCCTTAACCTGAGGCATTTATTTCACCAGTCCTGTGAAGGATAATTTCCAAGAATTTAGGATTCAAGGGTGTTGAGAGTCCTTCTCAACATTTTGCATACTTCACTCTTGTCCCTTCTTGTCTGCCTGGCTTCTGAGAAGATCTTACATATAATTCTTATTTTTGCTTCTTTACCGGTACATGATTTTTCGCTCTCTTGATTCTTTCAACATTCCCCCTCCCCATTTTTTTTGTTTCTAGAGTTCAAAAATTATAGGCCTGTATTAAAAAAGAAAATAGGCCCTGTATTTTGGGGGATATTCATCAGAGGTGATGTCTCTGAGCTTCTGGAACACATGTTTCAGTAGCAGACACCAATTTGGTAAAGTAGATTTCTTCACTAGTTTAAAATTTTAGCCTAATTTTATCAGATGTAATCAGATAAGTGGTCAGGATGAAAGCCAACTATAAACTGAGGGGCAGCTGTCCTTCTCTCCCCCTCCCCCACATTCCAGAACAGATAGGGAACCTACTTGAGCTCCTAAAAGCAAAATGCAAGTGTGGCCTTGTCACAGCTCTCATGCTTGTCTGTAGTCTGCCTCCAGCAATGTGTCAGTCAGGTCTTCCTACCTCTGCCCCAGTTCCCACAGTAGTCTTCACTTTTGAGTGATTATCAGGTTAGCCAGGATTTACTATGTATACTGGTTGGCTTCTCCAATTGCAGTGGCAGAGGTTTTTCCTGTGCCTAACCTCTCTTGTGACTCCAAAGAGAGTTAGTTTTCCAGCCTTCTCAGTTCTTTACATGTTAGAACAATGGTGACTTCTAAACTCTTTACAGTCTAGTGAATGTACAGAATGACCTGTGGGTACTTCCCTTGGTTCCTAAAAAGGGATATACTTTGACACTAGCAAAGTTGTCACAATTTGAAGTGCAGACACAGGAATAGCAATTCTACTTCATCTCCGGGTAACCTGAATATTTTGTTTGTGGAAAAAAAAGTTTTAGAGGTTAACAATGGTTACTGTAAACTTAATTAAGCAATAAAACCTACTCACAGAGACCCAAATGTGTCCTCTTTCACCAGAGGAGAATTAGCACAATTCTTGGCATCTGGGAGGTGGCTACTGAGGTACAAGATGCATTTATTTCTATCCCAGAGACCATCAGGAGTTTTCTGTCAGCAAGCAGAGGTGGTATTTACAACCATTGATGTTCTCATCTTAAGAACATCAACCTGTGTGGTACCACAATCCCATAGGACACTGCTCTGATGACATCTCACTGGGCAAGAACTTCAGGCATCAGGCATGTCTTGGTAAGAGACATAACTGGCAAAGGGGGAGGCAGAATCCATGAAAGTTCCTGGACATGCCACCTTAATAAGGTTTCTGAGTCTCCAAAGGTCTGGGTAGTTTACAGAATGCTTTATGTTAAAGGTACATTTTGCAGTTGGAGCTCCTTGTAACTAAGACATAGTTCAGAGTCTGCCAAGCTGCCTTGAATTTTCAGGAGACACACTGACATGTGGGCATGCTGCTGTATGAAGAACATCCTGCATGGTGACAGCAAAGAGCACAGTTCAGGCCACAGAAAGTTCCATAACTGCTTCAAACTTAGGCTACCAGAGCCTTAGTTCCAGAAGAATCTCAAGGTACTTAAGGAGTGTGCAATTGATTTACATGTTGTGAAATCCCTCTATCATGCTCCAGCATAGGCCCCTAGTGATAATAAAGACTTGTCTTCTTCAGATAACAGTGATGTCCTTTAAAGGAGTTGTTGTTGGCTTACATCTAGAGACCAAGATCCTGAACACAGAGAACGAAGTGGTCCTCAGACACAGAGTGGGCACTATATAATCAATCAAGCTGTAAAGTTGGACAAACATGATGATATTCTAGGATATATATCAGTCAAGCAAGACATGAATAAGCAGACCACTTGTATGAATATAGAGTCATTTCCAGAGTCTCTTTCATGCACAGTCATGTCTCTCATTTATCCTTTAAATAATATCTGTGGCCTTTAGGAAATTCTTCATAACAAAAGAAGAAATTGCAGTTTGGTACTAGCTGGAAGTAACATAGTGAATAATAACTCTGCAAAGGGGTGACCTGAATAGGAAAATGAAACTTTCATAGTAGGCCAAGCCTTTTATAGTATAGTGTCCACCTTTCCTCTTGTAGCAAGACTTAGGGGAGACCACCAAGTCATGGGTAGCAACTGGGTTGGATGTACTGATTACAAGGAGTTAGGGACAGACCTGGATGAAGGAAGTGGATGGACCTTTCAAATTAGATAAATATCATGAGCCAGTTTTTCCCATATGTGAATCAAGAGGCATACACTACCAACAAGCTACTAGTTATGAGGAGAAAATGCTACAGGAGTATCAGTGAAGTTAGAGTGGAAACTGAACAGGATGAACAGCTGTAGGAGGAGCTAAGGTGGGAGGAGTTAGGAGAGGAAGAGGAAAAGAGGAGGGGCTAGGAAAGGAAGAAGAAAAGAAAGAGGAGGAGCCAAGAGAGAGAGAGAAAGAGAGAGAGAGAGAAAGAGAGAGAGAGAGAGAGAGAGAGAGAGAGAGAGAGAGAGAGAGAGAGGAAGGAGATGGAGGCAGATGTTCACGTGTCTGTAGCAGTCAAAGGTAGTTGGTATATCTAGGTTGGATATTGGGTTACACTTCTGATTGTATGGGTATCCTGTTACTGATCATTACCAAATATATAAGCCTTTGATTAATCTTTAAGCATTAGAGTCTCATCTTTCTACTGGGCCGTGTGGATGGAGGGATGGTCTCCAGCCTTGTGGAGACAGTATGGAAGACTGGCAGAACCATCTCTTATGCTGGCATCTCGTGGGTGGCAGGGCTGGTGTTTCTGGCTGGCCAGTTCTAGCTGCTGAGTGCATGTGGCCTCCGGCCGAGAAACATGGCAGCTGAGCTAGGCAGAGCTGCCACAGCTTAGATACTTAGCTTGAACCAGTGGCCATTTTTTAAATAATTACTACAACCAACAGCTCAGGATTCCTACTTGAGCTGGTGCCCGCCATCAGTACTAGTCTTTACTACTGTGGGACAGGTCCTTTTATGAAGGAGGAGATCATCAGTCTGCCTACCTTGTACTAGATGTCTACCCTAGATATGTATTCATCCTTGTGGCCACCTCGCTCAGCCAGCACTGCCATCAGGAATCCCTCAGTATCACGAATCTCATACAAACCTGCCAGTGCTGAGGTACTCACTTTAGTGCTCCAGAAACTAGACAACAGATTCATCCCCGCAGATGATGAATTTGTCAGCCTTATCACAACCCAGTCAGCCCAAATGGGTCGCAGCAGTGCCACTTACCAAGTAAGTTAATGACGCCGTCATTGTAGCAAGCAAACAGTTTGATAAGATCTTTGAAAAGAAGCATAAATGCAGCATTTATGACCCCATTTGTTAGTTCATTTGGATGCACCTAGAAAAACGAGCATTTAACTTTAGCTGCATATCATCAAGTTAGTATTTTTTCTCAAGTCATAATAAAATGTCTCAAACTAAGAAATTCACTTGTAGTCTAAAAATGTTGGGTAACTTCTATTAAGCATAGCAATACCAAAGGACTGGTTGAAAATGCTTTGATTATTTAAGCTAGAACCCTTAGTAAGGAAGAGGAAAGCTAAAAATAGATAAACAAAAAGAAAGTAAAAAATTAAGATTAGATGTCCAATAAAGATCTTACTGTAAAATCCATCAAAAACCAGTGTGACGGCTTGCAATTTCTTCTTGAAATTTCACAAGAGTGAGTTGTTACGAGAAGGGCTCAATTATAGTCTAAGCCATAGAATCTTAACAAAGACTTTAAGCTAGGAGTATCTGAAGAAAGTGTTTTAGACAACTATCAAATTACAGAGGAGCTGACAATGAGAGCTCAGAACTTTCCTACACGTCAAAATATTTTTTTTTCATGACTCAGGTCCTCTTAACTGTTATTTTTTGAGTCAATTATACATTTACAAGCAGTTGTAAAAAGTAAAAGAGGTAGATTCCATATGGCAGTGACCTAGTTTCTCCCAAATGTAATAAAAGAGCTCACAGAATTCTAGTTAATTATGTCACAGCCAGGATACTGTATGACAAAATCAACCGACTGCATTCAGAGTTCCCTGGGTTTACTTGTATATGCTTCCGTTGTATCTAGTTCTATACAACTTTATCACACATATGCACTGATGAATTCATCACAACCAATTCAGGTTATGGTTTTTAAAAATTATTCTTTATGCATATGGCTATTTTGCCTTCATGTATGTCTGTCTGTGCACCCCCTGTGTGCTTGGTGCTTATGGAAGTTAGATTAGGGCATCTAATCCCTGGGAACTGGAGCTGGTTGGGTACTGCCATGTAGGTGTGGTAAATTGAACTCAGTTCTCTACAAAAGCAGCTACTGTCTTAAGCACTGAGCCATCTCTCCAATCCCAACAGGTGTGCTCTTTAACAAACAAATAATACTTACTGACTACCAAAAAAGGCTTGTTATCAGTGATAATGCAAAATCACTCCCTGGTGGACAGTGTCACTTAGGTAGTCCATGTCAGATGGGTTCTGATTAGAAAGCATGGTTATTTAGCTACCTGGGGAGCATCTTGTGCATACTTCATCTTACAAGCACACCAAGCTATCATTTCACTCAGAATAGAAGGCTCCAGAATGCTGTGCTCACCTTTCTCTGACCATAGGAAACAGTTTGTAAACTTTGGAACACTCTGGGGGCCTAAAAAACTGAGTGAAATGTTCCTGTAATTCATCTACACAAAGACCTTCTAGAGATGACCCTATGTCAACAGCTAACTGACTGGCAGCCCTTTCGAAGGAGAGACAAGGGCCAATTATGCGAGCAACATTTCACACGGGATACGGGATACATACATCAAACTCCAGCAGTGCATCAATCTGCCCCTGCAGAATTGGCATGCTCTTCAGGAGCTTTTCAGGGACCATTGTTCTCATCACCCCATCAGCCCTACAACACCACAGACAGACAGAAAAGCAGCAAAGTTAGTTATGAAGCAGCAATGAAAACATTTTTATGATTGGGGGTCACCACGACATGAGGAACTGTATTAAAGAGTCACAGCATTAGGAAGGTTGAGAACCACAGTCTTAAATGCTGAGCCATCTCTCCAGCCCCTCTATAGATTCTTAAAATAAAATAATGAACCTTTACAACACTTTATCATTACTTTCAGTTACAAACAGACAAAAGGTCTGCATGTGCTTCTGGCTGAACATTTTGGCCCAGATTAAAGCATCTATTCAGAGACAAATAAATGACACTTGTATATTAAAATTCATTTTTTCTGCTTCATTGAGACTTTCTTAAATAGTAAGTAATGTCAATCATTAAATTATGGTATGCATATTTCCTAGGAAAGTATTACTCTCAACACTAAATCATCACATACACTGTTTTCACCTCAATTAAAATTTCTATAAATAAATGTTTTCATTAACACCACTATACCCTGAAATGAGTCTTGTCAATTCTTTCCTTAAGTTATTTAAAGATATTTAGATTAAGGATATTGAGTCAGTTTTAACAAATAAAATTTTGCATCACATAATTTCTGAGCAGCCAATCAGATTGTTACACATGAACACACTTCAGTACTGCACACTTGAGGGTAGCTTCTGTCATACTGACTTCCTCAGCTGTCTCTTCAGGTGAGTGTGGACTGAGCCTGCCAGGATCAATGCTAGCTGGCATATAAGCTTAGTTAAATAAATCATGTATGCCTAGAGGATTTGCTGTGCTTAAGTAAATAAGAAAAAGAGCAAGAGAGCCATACCCTTTCTTCACTCTGGCAAAGTCAAATGCCATCTGTCTGTAGGAAAAAGCCTTCTCATTCAGGTATCTACTGTAACGCCGTATGAACGTAGACATATCATATCCTGGGGAGAGCGAGAGGAGACAGTCGTGAACACAATGCTTTCCATTGTACTTCTCATACAAGTAATTATTCTATAGCTCTTCAAAACAGACAAGGATTGTCACAGTTGCCTCTAAGAAGGAGCTCAACATGTTGCAGCAAGCCTCATTACCACCCTACTTATAAGCCAAGATTCTTCCATATGGGGCGCTCTGGCCATTCAATACGGTGATTACACTATCCAGCACGGATAGTGTATTTGTATCTACTGTTATACACAACAGCCTGTTTCATATGTAACACATGCAGCCATCTGATATGGGCCTATCTAGCTTCACATGTATGCAATAGTAAGCAAATACAACGAATGAGCCAGAAGTAATGGTCCGAGCTGCATTAACTTAGAAACATTTCTTTAAGAGAGCAATCTTTCTTTTAAATTTGGTTGATGACTTTTACTCCCTCATGTCCTGAATCTTTATAAGCAAACTGTGAGACAGATTAAGTCCAGGTTCCCTTTTTAAAGTGAACACTCCAAGAGACAAAATAAAATTAATGTATATATAATATTAATATATGATCAATTGTGTACAATTAAATAGTTAATTTAATAGTTACTTTCCCATTACTTTCTCAGATAACCAATAGAATGCTCAGTGACAGCGACTTTGGATTAATGCCCACCCCTAGATTTGCCATTCTCACCGTGGGATCCGCTTTTATCTAGAAAGTTGCTGAGGTTGAATAGCGTATTTCTAGAGGCCAAATACTGAATAAATCTCTGAAAAACAAAAACTAGAGTTAAAGGACATTATACCTTTAAACAATTGATGATGTTAAAACCGTGTTTTATTCATTTATTTTTACAACTTCTATTGTATTTGCTCACTTAGTTAGGTAGTTTCCTATGCTGCCAACTTTCTCTAAGAAAGAGGTTTCTTTTAAAACTCCAGAGAAACACTCATCAAATAACAATGAAAAATTTTGAACTTTTACTTCTGCATATGCCAGCAACACTGAAAATTCTATAGGCTTCACTAGGAATTTTGCATAAAAGAAGTAACTTAATTTTATCAATATTTTTCACAAGTAAATAGTCCATGAAAGCAATCTTCATTTATAGACACGAAACATTATTTCCTGTGGAAAAACAGTCCTCCTGATCCTTTCTCTTAACATTTTTTCCACTAATACATTTAAATGTGGCTATCTCACTGAGACAAAGTCCAAATCAAAATACATTTAAAGATAGCCAAATCCAAAGTTGAAATTATACTCAAGATGACTGTGAAACATGTATTTCTTCTTTTCCTCCTCTTTAGTGAAAATTCATGGGTCTTAAATTATCAACATGTTCTGCAACCCCAGGCTCTACCAAGAAACGGTTGTGAATTTGGTTACCTCATTTCCATGCACCATGAGATGGTGTGTGGTTACTAAAGCTTTAAATACCACCACCCAGCTACTGTTCGTTGCCCGCTCAAAGAGGGTGTCGGCCATCTGAGGAATATTGACATTGGTCTCGTTGGTAGCCTGGATCAAATCTATGAAAATAGAAGATATCCAGTAACTATTATATATAAAATTCACCTCAAACTTTAAACATTTAAGCTCATTACCAAAGCATGGCTTCAAAACTAAATAGACAAGAGTTAATTGAAAAACATTACATTGTAGCATTCTTACATATGAACACATTAAATATATGTATTTTAACCAATGTATTTATTTATTCTTGTACTTTTTCTTTTTCAGTTGAATTCTCTTCTGTATTTGTGCTGGTTAATTTTTGTCAACTTGACACAAACTCAGGTCATTTGGGATGAGAAAACCTCAGTTGAGAAAATGTTTCCATGAGACTGGAGATTAGCCTGTAGGAAAGTCTTGCAGAGCATTTTGTTTGGTTAATGACTGACTGATATGGGAGAACCTAACCCACTGTGGGCAGCACCATCGCTAGCTAGGTGGTTCTAGGTTGTATAAGAAAACCAACTGAGCAAGTAAGGAAGTGAGTGAGCATCATTCCCCAATAGCCTCTGCTTCAGCTTCTGAATCCAGGCTCCTGCCTGGAATTCATGCTTTGACTTCCTTTCATGGTGGACTCTTTGACTTGTAAGATGAAATAAACTCTTGCTTCCCTAAGTTGCTTTTGGTCATGGTGTTTTATCACAGCAATGCAAAGCAAACTAGGAAAAATTTCTTGTCTTTATTTTCAACTTGCTGATACAGATGCCATTGTTTTTTAAAATGATGAAGACACTAGATTAGTTAAGTCACTCAAAGCACAATGTCTAAAATATACAGATACTAATCTAATACATTGTTTGCAGGAAAAACCAAAAATGTATTTTTGCAACATAGTATCTAAAAGTATACTTCACTTGTAACTTAATCTTAAAGTGTACTAACAAATACACTGCCATGTGATGAGAAGAAACACAAATAGCTAATGAGCAAAGGATCCTAGTATATTCATCTACTATCTTCATTCAGCTCTCAGAGAATACCATGCAGTGTTTGGTTATGATCTAGCCTTGGATAGTAAGATAGAAAGAAGTACTATGTAATATATTTCACTATCCACATCTTCCCATTAATACAACTCAAGGTGAATTCAAATTTATTTATATATTGGGGAACAAGGATATACAGTGCTCAGAAAAAAATTCTTAGTGCTGAAATGTAGCTGGGGCAGCCAAAGATCATGTTTTATCTCTGATATGTCTCCAAGACCCTATTCTATCAGCAAATGAATAGATTTTGTGATAGACATCTAGTTTCAAGTATAAGGTAGTCCCATGATACTATCTCAGATACAGCATAGTGATTTCTTGTTTCTTTTATTTTCAAAGAACTATTGATATGTTTGGACATATACATTTTGTTCAACAGGCATTTGCTGTGTGCAGTGCTCGGGGAAGCATCATGCAGGAAACAGACCATTTCTACTCTTCAGCAGCTCCTGGTGTGGTAGGTTTGTATCTACTCTGAACAGCCCAACAGGAACAGAGGGCCTTCAGTTTTAATAGAGGGAAGCCTTAGGAGCTACACCTAGAAAGGACCAGGAAAGCTTTCTTGAAAGGATGAGAATTACAATAAAAAAATATTGGGTGAAAAATATATTGACAGGCTAGGGATGATGGCTGGAGCTTCAAAAAGATGTGAACTAAGAAATAATTATACTTTAGTCTATTCATAAGTCAGAACAATTGTTAATATCCCCAAGTTTAGGTCCTGAGGGCTTTTTTTGGAGGGGGTGACTGACTAAAAAAAATCTTATTGTGAAATTGATGTTAGTGATGGGCACATTTAGATTTTGAGTGAAGAGCAGGATAGGCTTGCCTCTGCATCTGCATCAGGGAGCTTCCTGGGAACTAAGGTACCACTAGGCTGCAGTGTGTGTGTGTGTGTGTGTGTGTGTGTGTGTGTGTGTGTGTTTCTCTGTGTGTGTGTGTTTGTGTGTGTGTAGATGCCTACAGAGGCCAAAGGTGTCAGATGCCCTAGAGGGGAGTTAAAGGTGATTGTGAGCCAAACATGGCTGACAGGAATCCAATTAGTGTCCTCTGGAAGAGCACTCTGTGCTCTTAACCACTGAGCCATCTCTCCAGTCTCCAAAGGACTTTAAAGACATTAATTTTTATTATTTTAAAATTATATGTTCATGTGTGTCTGTTTGGGCATATACATGTGAGTGTGGGTGCCTTCAGAGGCTAAACGCATCAGATCTTCTTCAAGCTTGAGTTATGGGTAGTAAGTAGTAAGCCATCTAACATGGATGCTGGGAGCTGAACTACTCAGGACTTCTGGAAAAGCAGTATGCAGTCTTAGCTGGTAAGCCATCTCTTATACCCAAGAAGAACTATTTAAATGTACATGAAGCAGGGCTCCTTCAGGAGTATACATTTCTGAAAAGCTCCGGTGTTGTAGGGGTTAAGTATGTGAGGTCAGATGTGTGTGTCTTGTTTAGGTTGAGGAGTTGCTTACTGTCAAGGAAGAGCCACATATAACCTCACTGAAGAATGAGCCAGGGCAACAAAGATAAAATATAGAATTAGAGGGCAT